CCTCCTCCTCCTCCTCCTCCTCCTCCTCCTCCTCCTACCCCGTCTCCCTCCCCCGACTACAGCGAGGGGGGGGGCAGCACGCACGCCGGGAGCTCCTCGTCGGTGAATATCCGCCTCGTCGAGGGCTGCACGATGACGCGGATGCCCTGGCCGACGAGGGCGCGGACGTGGTGCGGCGCCATGGGCGCGCGCCGTTCCCACTTGTTTTTGTCCTCGCGGCCACGCGAGGGGTGGATGGGGGGGGGGGATGGCAAGGGGGACGGCGAGGGGGGGGGGAGGAGCGGGGAAGAGAGGGGAAGAGGGAGGGGGGAAGGGGGGGAGGAGGGGGAGGAAAGGAGGGAGGGGGCAGGAGAGAAACGAGGGGATACAAAAAGGGAGCATGCTAGTTGCGCTCGCGCCGTATCTGACATCTTACCCCTCCCGTCCATCCCTTCTTTCCCCATTGCGCTCATGTGTTCTCAAGCCGCGGACGCGTGTCATAGCAGACCTGGAACTCCCCCCCAAAAAATAACCATCGTGCCATGCTGTTCTGCGCAATCTGAAAATGAGAACTCCATACGGGAGCTGGACGGGGAAGGGACGAAGGGACGAGGACCAGGGGAGGGTGAAGGAAGGAAAAAGAAGGAGACGACAACGATGAGGAATGACTCGGACCCAAGCAAACGGCCCGCGCTGGGGCGAGAGCGCCGTTGTGAACGACGGGAGCAAAGCGCCGATCCTAGAATGAGGCCAACGTTGCAGAGACAACACTACCAGTCGACGTTGTGCAACTTAGGTGGTGCATTTTATGTGGCGCAACTCACCCTGCAGAGCTTGAAATTGTCAATTCCATTGCGTGCACATTCATCCCACCCGCCCATCCGCAACTTGGTTTGAAAAACGCATAGGGCGGCGATCGCGATGACTGCTTGGCGCTGGCTGGCGCATCGCTGCGGCCGCGCTGGTGCGCGCAGGCTCGAGCGCAGAACGGCCGGCGAGTCTGGCGCGACCGACGCGGCCGCGGTGGCGCTGACCGCTGGGCAGTCCCCAGCGCGTTTCGCAACCTGCGCTGACGCGCAGGCACTTCAATGCGAAGCGGTGACTCGGGCAGACGCGGTATCACGGCGGCGTCGAAAACGGCAGACACGTTGAAGATATTTGAGGATAGTAGCGATGCTGGTGCCGGGGATGATGGTGTCCAGGCGTCGGCGATGAAGGTGTTTGATGGATTTCGTCATGCGCGCGCGGCCGACGGGCGCGAGTGGCCCGCATGGAGTTACTTGACAGGGATCGTGCTCCCCCAACGCGCGCGCGCGCAAGGGCGTTCGAATCATTTCGACATGTGCAAGCGAAAGTCCGCAAGAACGCGCGCGAAGAACCTTTTTTTCCGAGAAATCGCACCGCAACGCCATGTGTGTTTCGATCACGCCGTTACCACAAGAAAGAACTGCATATCATAAAAAAATCGGCGGCGAGACAAATATACATAATCACTCACTGACATGAGCGGAAAAAACGGCGGCGGGGCGATCCAATCCGAATATATCAGTCGGGACTCCCATGAAAAAACTCGCGGCGGGAAAATTCTAAATCAGTGAAAATTAAAAATGGTGGGCAACATATTTCAAAATCAGTATATATAGAATATCAGTGATATATAATCACTGCTGGCACTCTTTCCTGGAAACTATAATCAAAAAACAGATCTCACTTGAACTGTCAAAAACAACAGCAACATATACATGAAATCGCCAACTCCCCACCCAGAAAATGTTGACAACGAACCGGGTTGACCAAATGAATATCTGCGTAAATTTCAACAAACCAAGCAAAAAATGAATCATCTTTCGCAAAAAGGAATCATCATGGGTCCGATGCTGCAATCGCCCGAAAAAAATGGGCCGTGTTTGAGACGGAGCCGCGGGCGGCGGGCGGCGTCGACGGGCGGCGGGCGGCGTCGTCGGCGGGCTGGATCGTCTTTCACTATAAAAACCACAGCGGGGGACAGCGGGCAAACTGGCGGCGGGCCCGCTGCCCAGAATCAGTTCAAAATGGCGGCGGCGGGGGGGCGCGACATCCATCCAATACTGCAGTGAACACTGAGGAAACCGGAGTGATGTGTTTCGATAACGATGTTTTCGGGGGACTCGATTTACAACACATCAGGTGTTTGAAAGGGTCTGGCATGCGCGCGCGACGACGCACGCGTACACTTCATTCTCTGTTTGTACAAGGGTTAGAACGACTGACATTTGATAACCGAGTGCGCGCGCATAATATCACTTGACGAACATGATGGGGGTGCCGATCGCGGTTTGGCTGGGGTGGTCTGAACTCATATTTAGACTGGACGAGGAAGCACGACCGCATGTGCATTGCAAATCCCCAAGAGTAGTCGATTACCCTGGCAACCTAACTCCTTTTTACTTGGAGAATCTACGTTGTGCAATATATGTGGCACCATCTATGTGGTACAATAATTCTTTCGTTGCAGAGTTGTCAACTCATGTCAACCCCACTGCCCAAGCAATCATCCAACCCACCCGCCCGAAACATGGTCTGCAAAACCCATGGGGCTGCGATTGCGATGACTGCTTGGCGCTGGCTTGCGCATCGCTGCAGCCGCGCTAGCGCGCGCAGGCTCGCGCGCAGAGCGGTCAGCTACTCTGGCGCAACCGACGCGGCCGCGGTGGCGCTGACCGCCGGGCGCTTCCCAACACGTTTCGCAGGCCGCGCTGACGCGCGGGTACTTCAGTGCGAGTCGATGACCCAGGCGGGCGCGGCATCATGGCGTCGTCGAAATACGCAAACACGACGATGATAGTACAATAGCGATGCTGGTGCCGAGGGCAGAAGATGACGATGACAACGGCAAGGCCAGTGACGGCGCCGATGCTGATCACGCCGGCGAAGGTGATGGCGTCCACGCGTCGGCGATGAAAGTGTTGGAAAGATTTCGACATGCGCGCGCGGCCGACGGGCGCGAGTGGCCCGCATAAAGATAATTGACAAGGATCGCGCCCCCCTAGCGACCGCGGGCCCGCGACGACGCGCGTGTGTGCATTTTGCCATATTCGTGGTGAGGGGTTCTTGCAAACGGCTGGTGTTTGATAAACGGGTGCGAGTATAGTGTTTTTTGCAAGAAAGATGGAGAGGGTCGATGAGGGCTGGGCTGGGATGGTAGCTAGAAGGAACGATGAAGCATAATCGTATGAAAATTATACATCCCCTGGGGGAACCGATAATCCCCGGGGAGGGGGTGTAGATCCGAAGTCTCTCTCAGAAAAGAAAATCAGTGCTTCGTGCGGCGGCGAAGCGGCGAAGGGGCGGCGACGGCAACACCATCTAAAAAAAACGGCCAAGTTGGCAGACAGGCCGAGACGAGGCGGCAACGGGGCGGCGACGGCGGCAACATAGCCACCAAAGCGGCAGACAGGCCCAGACGATGGGCGGCGACGACGCGGCGACGGGGCGGCGACGGCGGCAACACAGCCGCCAGAGCGGTAGACAGTCCCAGACGACGGGCCGCAATGAGGCGGCGGAGGCGGCAAAATAGCCGCCAGAGCGGCAGACAGGCCCAGACGACGGGCGGCGACGAGGCGGCGGCGGGGCGGCGACGGCGGCAACGTAGCCGCCAGAACGGCAGACAGGCCCAGTTCTCTAGAGGAGAAATGGACATGCCTCAATGCAAACAATTTGGGGAAGAACGGGAACGCCCCGGGTGACAATTACCCGGTGACGTGCCCAACCCGTTTCTAAACATCTGGCGACTCTCTCTCTCTCTCTCTATATATATATATATATTTGTATATGTGTATGTATGTATATATATATATGTATATATATATGTATATATGTATATACATATATACATATATATACGTATCACTACAAACAAACATATTGAAGGACACGCAGTGCGCATGTACTCCCATAATCACACAACCAACCTGTAGTAATAAGCAAGATCGAACTGGAGACACAAGCATACGGAGGAGGGTGAATGGGGGGGCACACATGTTCAGTAACAGCAACAGCGCCGAGCGCTGCTTACGCGGGACAGAACAGCGCCATGCGCTCTATAGCAGAACAGCGCGTCGCGCTGAGTGAGGCAAGCGCACGGGGTGGCAAGGCGGGTCAGAGGCAGCTGGGAATGGGAGATCATGCAGACAAGATACAGCGCCATGCGCTGCGTGGCGCAACGGCCCCCTGCGAGTTTCGAACAACTCCACCCCGCTGGACCGGCCAGGAGCTCACGAAATTGGCGACGGTTGCGCAGTTCGCACCCCACCCATCCAGTGACCCGCGAGGTCTCGGCTGGGTGCGTTTCCAACTCCACTCCGCTGGGCCTCCCAGGACCCAGCGAAAGTGGCGAGACAACTGCGCAGTCCGCTTCCACCCAAGGAGCTGCGAGGTCTCGGCTGAGTGTGTTTACAACTCCACTCTGCATGGCCCCCCCAGAACCCACAAAAATGACGACACTTGCGCAGTTCGCAGCCCCGCAGGGAGCCGCGAGGTCTCGGCTGGGTGTGTTTACAACTCCACCCCGATGGGCCTCCGAAGAGCCCACGAAAGTGGCGACTATGGCGCAGTTCGAAGCCACCTCAGGGAGCCGCGAGGTCTGGAGTAGGTGTGTTTACAACTCTGCTCCGCTGAGCCTCCCAAGAACCCACGAACGTGGCGGCAATTGCGAACTTCGAAACCACCCAAGGAGCCACGAGGTCTCGGCTGGGTGTGTTTACAACTCCACTCCGCTGGGCCCCCCAAGAGCCCACGAAAATGGCAACAATGGCGCACTTCGGAGCCCCCATGGGAGCCGCGAGATCTCGGCTGGGTGTGCTTACAACTCCACCCCGATGGGCCTCCGAAGAGCACGAAAGTGGCGACAATGGCGCAGTTCGCAGCCCCCCATGGGGAACCGCGAGGTGTCGGCTGGAGGTGTTTACAACTCCGCTCCGCGGAGCCTCCCAGGAGCCCACGGAAGCGGCAGTTGCGCAGGTCGAAACCACCCCAAGGAGCTGCGAGGTCTCGGCTGGGTGTGTTTAAACTCCACTCTGCGGGGCCTGCCTGGAGCCCACGAAAAAAGCGAGGGTTGCGCAATTCGCAGCTTCCTCAGGGAGCCGAGAGGTCTCGGCCGGGTGTGTCTGCCACTCCACTGCGCTGGGCCGCCCAGAAGCCCAAGAGATTTGCGACGGAGGCACCA